GTCCCCCGCGCCACCCTCCCCTCCCCTGCCACAGACACACACACACACACACACACACACACACACACATCGACCACTGTCCTGGGCCTGGTCGGGGGGTACAAAGCCTGGCAGCAGTGAGGGACCAAGGGAACAGGCCTTCGAGGCTGGCACGGACACTCAGACCCACAGCAGCCCTGACCAGCGAGGATTAGCCTCCTCGTGTGTAAAAGCAGGGAAACTGAGGCCCGGGGAGCTTGGGTGATGCAAGAGCACGCAGTGGGAGGGGAAGCAGCCACCCTGTGTCGCCTCCACCCTGTGAGAGTCACCTTTGCCCCCTGGGGTCCTGCTCCGTTTCCGAGCCAGTCACTCATTCGTTTGTTCCTTCGTCCCTGTACCCTCACTGCTTGACCCACTGGGGAAACGTGTGCTAAGCACCTGCTGCGCGTCAGGCGCTGTGCCGTCTCCGGCCCTCGGGCTTTCAGGAAGTGAGAGCGGGAGCAGGGGGTTGGGGAGGGCCGAAGAAGGGAAGCTCCCTGAGGCCTCGGCGCTTTGCCCCGAACCAGCACACGCACTCCTTGGCGCTTCCCTGAGGACACGCCATGTCTGCGCCTCAGCTCCCCCGTCTGCAGAACGGTCCTCGCAGGGCACGGGGCCCAGGCAGCTGCAGAGAATCTGCCTGTCGTTCCAGGAATCCACCTGCTCCTTTACAGAGCCAGGTAGGAAGCGGAAATGGAGACCCCGAGGCCTGACCTGGGGTCTGACCGTTGTTCTTCGGGAGGTTTAGAAAATCTCAGGTCTAGCCAAAGCCGGTTTGGCTCAGTGGTAGAGCATCGGTCTGCAGACTGAAAGGTCCCAGGTTCGATTCCGGTCAAGGGCATGTACATTGGTTGTGGGCATATCCCCAGTACGGGGTGTGCAAGAGGCAGCTGGTCGATGTTTCTCATCGATATTTCTAGCTCTCTATCCCTCTCTCTTCCTCTCTGTAAAAAAATCAATAAAATATATTTAAAAAAAAAAAAATCTCAGGTCTAGTGACAAGGTTGGTCAACCAGAAGGGGAATTTTTACTGAGCACCTACTGCGTGCTCGGAGCTCCAGCAGCATTCCCTGCGGTGCAGCAGTTGGCGAGGTAGGAGTGGATGGTCTCCCCGTTTTGTAGAGGGAAAGGCTGAGGCCCAGAAAGTGACAGCCAGAGTGAGTGACAGCCAGCACTCTGCTTCCGGAAGCCGCCGGCTCTTTCTGCTGTCACAGTGGGGATGGCCCCGGGGACCTCACCCCACTGTGCCCCGTCCACCTCCCGGCCTCTGCCCTCGGAGGCCCGGTTCTCCTCACTCTTCTGCTGCAGAGCGGCGGGCTGTGGGAACCGAGTGTCGCGACTGTGATTCGCTGTATTTTCCCTTGTGTTCACCCTGGGCCTGTCCCCACCGGTCAGGGAGATGCCCTGTCCCCCGCTCCCTGTCGCCTACCCTTTCTTTTTCTTTCTTTTTTTTTAATTTTTATATTTTACTGATTTTTTACAAAGAGGAAGGGAGAGGAAAAGAGAGTCAGAAAACATCAATGAGAGAAATATCCATCAGCCGCCTCCTGCACACTCCCTGCTAGGTATGTGCCTACAACCAAGGTACATGCCCTTGACCGGAATCCAACCTGGGACCCTTCAGTCCACAGGCCGATGCTCTATCCACTGAGCTACACCAGTCAGGGCACCTGCCCCTTCCTCAGTGCCTTCTTGAGATCCGCGTCGGCCTCCTCACGTCTGCGGCTGGTCACCCCCCATCAGCCACGGAATCGCAGAGGAAGCCTGCAATCTTGCCACCACCCGTTTGGGCCTGTGTCCGAGGACAGGCTGCCATCCGTGCAGCCTCCTGGCTCCGTGTGTGTCCCCGTGACCTTCTCAGGACGAGGGCTGGCGTGGCTGAGGCCTCCCTGGGCGGGTCCAGCTGTGCTTGCCTGTAGCTGGGTGCTGGGACCAGGCTCATGGCAGCATCCCGGCCCTCCCGGCCCCTCCCACCAGTCATCGCCGCTGGGAGAGGCAGTCGGGGGCTGTGGCAGTGTGTGTGTGTGGGGGGACTGTGAGATTTCTTTCAGCTTTTGGCCCCCCCACCCCCTTCCCCGCCAAAAACATGTGTTCAAATTTCCCCTCCTCGGTTGGCCAGTGACTGGCGCCTTCGGCAGACGGAGGGTCTCAGGGGACAGGCTGCTGAGCTGGGGGCATCCGTGGGTTCCCGCAGGCCCCCTGCAGGGACTCCTCAGGTCCCAGGGCCTCAGTTTCCCCACAGCCGTGTGTTTCCCCATGCACCTCAATGCGTGCGCTGTCTGCGGGCCTGCCCGGTGACAGGAGCCTTCAGCCTGTGAATCACGGACCCGCTCGGGGTCCGGAGTGTGTCCATGAATATAGACGTGTGTGTGTGTGTGTGTGTGTGTGTGTGTGTGTGTGGTTATTTTTCATTTTTTCATTATTTGCTCCGTTGCACTTAAGTCACATTTTCCTACCCTCCGGTCCAAGCTCTAAAAGCACTTTGTGGTGTAAAACCTCCATCATCTGACCCGCTCCACCGAACTAAGCCGGCGCCCTGCCGTCATCGGCCTCGGGAAGTGCCTGCCGTCATGCTGCGGGGCTGGGGGGCCGTGCCCGCTGCCCCGCTCCCCCGCTCCACGGTGATCCCCCCCCCCCCCCGGGCCCGGCCCGCGCCCCCTGGGGCCGCTCCGGTTTCAGGCTGTTATTACTGGAATGCCAGCTGCCCCGCGCCCAGCCCAGCCCACAGACCCGCTCTGTCTGCCCGGGCCCGGGCCTCCGCTGAGCTCATCTCGTAGAAATATCGTTTTAAAAATAAATGCTGGTTCCATCCGCCTTCCCTCTCGCCTCCGCCTGTCTCCTGGCCGCCTCCACTGGCACCGGAGGGTCCGTGAAGGCTGCCCTCTCCCAGAGTCCTCCAGGGGCCGAGGGGCCTGCTGGCCGGCCACCCAGGGGTGCCTCCCAGGCAGGCTCAGGGGCCCTCTGGGGCTGCCCAGCATGTGGGGATGCGAGAGAGCTCTGCAGGCAGACGGACTCGGCCCTGCCACGCACTTGCTGTGTGGCCTCGGACGAGTTATCGCCCTCTCTGGGCCACGAGGGTACATGAGTGAAGAGGTGCCCCCCCCCCCCCAGGTGGAGGGTGGAGGGTGGCATTGGTTCCCATGGACAGCATGAGGTTTGTTTCTAAGAGGGAAATGCATTGAAGCTCTCTCGCAAACCTGCTGTGAGCTGATCTTCCTCCTCATGCATACTCGATGGATTCTCCTTGGGCACCAGAGGCAGCTCACCAGTGGGTCAGAAAATGCTGAGGCCCACAGTCCCGACAGCCTCACAGCCACGCGAGGAAAGCAGGGTGGGCACATTCCGTGCCCGAGAGGCAGCCGCGTGGGGTTCAGAGACAGACTCCCCAGAGTTCTGTGTCCCCGTGCGGCCATGAGTCACTGTGGCTTAGACAGTGACTTGGTGTCTCTGTGCCTCCGTTTCCTTGGCTCGGGAATTCTACTCAGCTCGTCAGGCTGCCCGGGGGCTCCGCGATGAGAGGCATGAACACCCCCCCCCCCCAAACCCCCCAGACCGTGCCCGGCACAGAGCAGGCGCTGTCAGCACTGTGTGTTTTGTGTGGCCGTCATGTGGCAGGAAGTTCCGGAGTACAGACATTCAGGTGACACTCATGACCATCCCCTACTGTAGCAGTTCTTAATCGGGAGCAGTTTTGAGCTCCAGGGACATGTGACAATTCCTGGGGACATTTTGGTTGTCACAACAGGGAGACGTTGCTCCCGGCATCCTGTGCGGAGGCCCGGGATGGGGCCTCATACCCAGCCATTCATGGACAGCCCCACAGCGACAGCCTGTCCCAGAGCACAGGGCCCTGGGCCCTGAGCCCTCAGTGGAGCTTTCGGGTCGCACCGCGGGCCCTTCTCCTCTGCTGCCCTTGGCCTTGGCGGAATGTTGCATTTATTGGTATGATCATCTGATGGCTGCCCATCCCACGAGTAGCGTGCACGCTTGTGAGGGAGAGATCAGGGCACTGCTGCCTCTGCAGCCCACCCCAGCTCTGTCACAGGCAGCGCTGCGCCTGGACCTGTCAGACGCAGGTTCAAGTCCCAGGGTTGCCACTTGCTGGCTGTGTGACCTTGGGCCAGTGGTGCCACTTTTTTGAATCTCCTTTCCTTCCTCTGCAAATGGGATTGTAAATCACTGATAAATTAGAGAAGACCACCGGCTCCAAGGTCCAACCATACCAGGGTCCAAGTCTCAGCGCAGTTACCTCACTAAGCCTCAGTTTCCTCACCTGTGAAATGGGTCCATGGACCCCCTTCCTCAGAAGCTTAATATGGGAACTGAAGGAGCTGCTGCTGATTACTTTTATTATTATTACTAGAGGCCCAGTGCATGAAATTCATGCTGAGGGTTGTCCCTCAGCCCAGCTTAAACCCTCTCCAATCTGGAATCCCTCTCACAATCCAGGACTGCTGGTTCCTAACCGCTCGCCTGCCTACCTGCCTGCCTTCCTAATTGCCCCTAACCACTTCTGCCTGCCAGCCTGATCACCCCCTAACCACTCCACTCCCCTGCCAGTCTGATTGGTGCCTAACTTCTCCCCTGCCAGCCTGGTCATCCCTAACTGCCCTCCCCTGCAGGCCTGGTCACTCCCAACTGCCCTCCGTGCAGGCCTGATTGCCCCCAACTGCCCTCCCCTGCCAGCCATCTTGTGGCAGCCATCTTGTGGTGGCCATCTTTGGCCACATGGGGGTGGCCATCCTGTGTGCTGGAGTGATGGTCAATTTGCACATCACCTCTTCATTATTTAGGATTATTAACCTCACCACCCAGTGAGTGGGCTTTTTGAGCCCTCAGTGTGTTCCAGGCCCCACTGACTGCCGTGGGTGAGCGTGAGGGGGCAGAACGCCTGTGCTGGCTGAGCTCATTGTCTCCTGATGTGGGCGGGGACTGGCCCGGCACTCCCCGCAGCGCTGACCTCTGGCCTCCCCCGCTTTCAGATCTGTGCCATCATCGGCGGGACCTTCACGGTAGCTGGCATTCTGGACTCGTGTATCTTCACCGCCTCGGAGGCCTGGAAGAAGATCCAGCTGGGCAAGATGCACTGACCACCTGCCCGCCCGGCCGGCCAGGACCCTGGGCAGTGCCAGCCCCGCCTCCAGCGCCCCGTCTCCCCTGCCCTCTGTCTGGCCCAGGATCTGGCTGCATCCCAAAGTGGGGGTGGGGTGGGGGGAGGTAGCAGGTGGCTCATGGCTCTGAAGCTACCTCTCTTCCCCATGTTCAATGTTAGATGAATTACGCTAATGTCCTTTCCCCCGGGGGCCCCCTAGACCAGAGTCAGGCAAGGGGTGCTCGGGGATGTTGGGGGCCACTCCTGGGAGGGCTGCGCTCCCTTCTCTCTTGTGGGACCAGCCCAGATTCCTTGCGGACCAGCTCTCCGCCAGGCTTTGACAATCTCTCAGCCCCCACCTCTTGGACGCACAAATCCCTCGGTTTCCCCCACGGGCAGCCACCCGCAGGCCTGGCCTCGGCTCTGGGCCAGGCTGCCCAAACGCACCCTACCTGGAGCCTTCAACGAAGGATGGTACTTCCCAGGCCGCCCCTGGGCTGTGGCGCTGGAGGGGGAACCCTCCCTTCAGCCACACCCTCTGCTGCCTGGCCCAGAGGCCTCACCCCACAGCTCTCTTTCTCTCCTCCCGAGTCACTGGGCGGTGGCGGGTTCCCCTTCCTCCACTCACCCCCCTCCTCTGGACCCCCACCGACGTGCCTCAGCCCCCCGCTGTGTGACAGCAGCGTCTCTGGGCGGAGGGGCTGGCTGTGACTGGAATCGCCCTTTGAGAACCAGACAGGGTTTGTGCACCGGGTCAGGCGGGGCGCCCCTTTCTCTGCGGCCCTAAAACAATCATGTTGCGGCCTCTCCTCGCGGCTGCCATCGGTCCCAAGGCCTTAGGAGGGGGAAGCAAAGCTGATCCTCCCTTCCCCGTCTGGACGTCCACCTCCCGGCTGTGGAGGGACTCATGCCCATGGCCCTCACTGCAGCCTCAGGGTAGGCCTGTGGCCACTGAGCTTCCCAGGGGCTGGCCACACACCACGTTCCTGGTCCCTGGGGCGGTTCCACGGTCCCCCCACTTGCTCCTGAGGTGGGTCCCTTCCCCCTCCTCCCCTCTCATCCTTCCCCTTCTGTCCTAAAAGGGAGGGCAGGGTCCAGGCGCCCTCCCCTGGGAATTTCAGGTATGCCCTGTCCCGGGGAGACGCAGTTGGCTTCCCATTTAGACCAAGATGGTTCGCATACTTCTGTGATGAAGGGGCGTGGGGGCCAGGAGCTGGAACTATCTGTAGAGAGAGCTCGCGTCTCTGCTGTTTGTAATCCTTGGCTCTGAATTCCAGGAGAGCAGCTTCGCCGCTTGCGTATGCGTTGACTGACGTGTGTTCGGTTATTTCTGGTATCTCTGACCACTTAGGTGGATTTTTAATTTTTTTTTTTTACACATTCTGTTCCCCAGTGACCAAGAGGAGGCCCTGCAGAGGGTGGGCTGGGAGGGCGGGGACGTGTGTGGCGTGCACGGGCCTCGAAATTCCACTTGGATGATGCATTTGAAGAGACAAGACCCTTGAGGACGCAGGGGATGGCAGTTTCCTGTGGAAGACACACCTCAGAGCCTGATTACAGACAAACATCTCAAGGGGAAAAATGTGTCCCCGCTCCTCGGGTTTGAATAGATTAAAGGGCTGATTTTCAGAAACGTTGCTGTGTGTTTCGTTCTACTCGATTGGGGCCGGGGGCTCGGTCCCAGGAGGGCACTGAGATCCACAGGAGAGGAACGGGCAACGCGGAAAGGACCTGTGAGGAGGGTCAGAAGTCACCCTGGGGACCCAGCGCTTCCTTTGTGGAGTCCCTCCAAGCCGTTCCCGGAATCTGCCCTTTGCTAGCCGCGTAGCCCCTGCCAGTGCCTCAGTATCCCCAGTTGGAAATGAGGCTAAGAGGACCACAATCTTGTAAGAATGTGGCAGAAATTAAATCTACAATACTTGCAAGTCAGTTATCCCGGGTCAGGACGAGCTCATGTATGCGGGCACGTGGTACCTGGTGGCTTTTCAAAAATGGCAGTAGATCCGTATCAGCTTTCCCAAGGGAATGCGATGTCCTACGAGCAGGGCTGGCATTGTCCCATGGCTTCCAGCCGAGGGCGGCATAAAAGCAGGCATTTCATACGGTCTCCATTCCAAAGGACCTGGCATTCCCAGGTCATTCTCCAGCTCAGCAAAGGGAGACAGACCCTCATCAGCCCTGACAGAGGGACTTACCGGCTGTGCCAGCCCCGCAGGGTCTCCACTGGGACAGCATGGATGTGGACAGACACATCAGGGGTGCGTATGGGAGCCGGCCGTCTGCAGGAAGGTCATCTTTGATGCTCCATCTCTCTTTTCCTGCTTGTCTGTTACTTGAATGGTAATGACACTCACAGCCAGTGCGGGGTGTGCAGGAGGCAACCGATAGATGATTCTCGTCATTGATGTTTCTCTTTCTCTCCCTTCCTCTCTGAAACATACACTGAGTGGCCAGATGATGATGATCTTTGAACGCATAATAATCTGGCCACTCAGTGTATATCCTATATAATGAAAGGCTAATATGCAAATTGTCCCCTTGACCAGGAATTTGACCGGCAGGCAGGCCAGCCAACTGCCCATGTCCCCTCCCCCTGGCCAGGCTGGCCAGACCCTACCCATGCATGAATTCATGCACCAGGCCTCTAATACACACACACACACACACACACACACACACACACACACTGAGTGGCCAGATTATTATGGGTTCAGAGATCACAATAAGCTGGCCACTCAGTGTCATGTGCAGCACTTTTCCCAGGTGACAACCTTAGTGAGTATATATGCTGGGTCATGTTCACCATCATTCCTATCTCATTCAGAACCTGCTTTCTCCCCTGTCAAAGGGACAGCTCAGAGGCCTGTTTACAGATTAAATAAGGTAATGTCTGTAAAGCTGTTAGCACAACACCTGACAGTAAATGCTCAGCCTAATAAAATTAGCCTACACTAGTCATTCATTGAATAAACAGTAATTTCCATCAGTATTAAGTGCTTACTTTGTGTCAAGCATTGTGCTCAGGGTTTGTTTAATCCTGACACCTAACCCATGAGGTAAATGCCATCAATACTCCCACTCCTCAGATGGGGAAAGCCAGTGGCCTTTCTGGAGGCGTTTGCGGAGGTTATAAAACAAACAACAACAAAAACAGAGACCACAGCCCGAGCTCCCCCGGTGGGGTGCATCCCCTGTGTTCACATCAAACACAAAACTTGTGGTTTGTGTCATCTAGAGTTAATGGGCAGAGTCTGAATGCTAGGACAGTGAGTGCGAGGCCCGATTTAGGACTTCCTGGGAGATTAGGAACATCGATGACTGTAACTGAGCAGTGTGCCAGACACTGCTCTACACACTGTAAACAAATCAACTCATTTAGCCCTCATAATAACTCCATGAGGCACTTACTAAGATCATTCCCATTTCACAGATGAGCAAACTGAGGCTCAGAAACATGGAGGCGGCTCCCCAAGGGCCAGCAACATGAAGAGGCACTTGGGTCAAGGTCTGACTTTACAACCCCAGCTTTCAAACAGGGCTAAAACATTGGGGTGTGTATGTGGTGGTGTGTGTGTGTGGGGGGGGGAGTTTTGCAAAGCCAGGTGGTTGGTTATTCACGATCTTCAAACATCTGGTGGGGGGAGTGCTTGCTTTAAATTCAGATTTCCTGGCCCCAACTTACCCCAGTCTGGTTTTGCTGGACTGTGGTGGAGCATGAAAACCTGCCTTTTGAACAGGCTTCTCGATGATTTTAAGAAGCAAGTCAGCAGATTGCATTTGGAGCATTGTGACGTTAAAGGCACCCCAGCAATATGCCTAGACAACTTCTGCAAAGGAAGAGTTTGGGGTCAGAAAAAGACTATTGATGGTGTACCTGTTAAAAGAACATCAAGCCCCACTGGCATGCCTCTGTGGTTGAGCTTCAGCCTATGAACCAATAAAAAATATAGTTAAAAAGAAATAGAAGGACATCAATGAGCCTATATTGCAGGTCCTGCAAAAAAATAGGCTCCTTCTCCCCAGAGGTGCCGTTTCTTCGCGGTTCTCTGCAGGACCCATCCAGGGGGCCCTGGAAACGCGGCCCTGCGGTTCCACCCCGATCCGCATGGGGCGCCATTCGGCTTCATGTCGAAGGAATGGGCACCGCTTTTTTTTTTTTTTCTGCGCTTGCGCGGCCTGGAAGCCTCACTTCCTGCCGGGCCAGCGCACCCTCTGAGCACTTCCGGCGCCAGGGAGGTGAGTGGAGGGATGGTTCTTACTCTCGGACTGTGAAGCCCCCCGCCGCATAGGACCCTCCCGCAACGCTCCATCACTGAGCCGAACCGGTTAGGGCGGAATGCAAGTGTTTTTTAATGCATTTGCCAGCCAATGGAGGATCGGCAAACCAGAAAGATGCTGGTCATGTAACTTTTCCCAGCCCGAATGAAATTTCCTTTCACTAACCTATCCAAATGGTGTCCTTGTCTCAGGAATCCGAGGGGTCGGCGGTTGGGTGGCAGAAAGAACCTAAGCTGCTGTTGTTGAGGGGACCTCTGCTCACTGATCGAGGTTATAAATCCTTCGCACTTAAAGAAACAAAGGTTTGTTTGTTTTCTCACTCCTGAAAGGTGGTTATCGCCAGGCCAAAACGACAAAGATCGGGAAAAAAATTCTTGAACGCAAAGCTAAATCTCAAGTTAGAAAAGAGAAAGGCAAATATAGGGAAGAACTTACTGAGAAAATGCAGGAATAAATGTCACCTGTTGTAAAACCAATGTCTAGCTGTAAGTTTTTAGCCTGGTGTGTATTCCTTTAAAATTGTTCAAGCCCTAACCGGTGTGGCTCAGTGAACAGAGCGTCAGCCTGCGGACTCATGTGTCCCAGGTTCGATTCTGGTCAAGAGCATGTATCGGGTCTAGTAATAATTAATGTCGTTTTTTAACATTCGTTTAAAATCTTGCTTGGCGTTGACTTGTATTGACATAACCTTCAAACACGTATCTACAGAACGTGTGAAGTGCAATTAACAAGTTTTGCTTGAAAAAGTTTGTGTTTGGTTTGGATTTTGTTGCAAAACTAGGGCTAAGAAGATGGCGGATAAAGAGCATATTCGGCACTGCATGCTTTACGAGTTCCAATTAGGAAGAAAAGCAAGTGAGGCTGCAAAAAACATCTGTAGTGCTCTTGGTCAAGATGCAGTTAGCGCCAGAAAATGCCAGCGTTGGTTTGAGAAATTTCGCGAGGGAAATTTTTCATTAGATGACAAGAGTGGTCGAGGCCGTGTGTCCAATTTTGATCAAGAAGCTCTTCAAGCTCTTTTGGTGCAAAATCCTCAAATTACCCAACAGGAGCTTGCGACAACTTTAAATTGTTCACAGAAAACAATTTCCAATCAATTGCGTGCACTTGGCAAAGTCCAAAAGTTTGGAAAATGGGTTCCTCATGAGTTGACTGACAACAACCGTAATCAGAGAGTCACAATTTGCAGTTCGCTCCTCTCTCGTCAAAACCGTTTGCCGTTTTTAGAGCAAATTGTTACCGGAGATGAAGAATGGGTGCTGTATGTTAATTTGAAAAGTCGGCCTCAATGGTTGGACAAAAATGAGGCTCCGCAGCCCACGCCAAAACCTGACTTGCATGCGAAAAAAGTGATGTGTGTTTGGTGGAATTTTAAAGGAATTCTTCATTATGCACTTTTACCATCTAACCAAATCATTACAAGTGCAGTGTATAGTGCCCAATTGGAAAGGTTAGCCCAAGCTTTAAGAGAAAAAGAACCCGCGCTGATTAATCAGAAGGGCGTAATTCTTCACCACGATAACGCACGACCGCATACTGCAAGAATCACTGCTGAAAAACTGCGCCTGTTGGAATGGGAAGTTCTCCCTCAACCTGCATATTCTCCTGATATTGCCCCTTCCGATTACCATTTGTTTCGTTCTTTGCAAAACTTTCTTCTTGGAAAAAAATTTAATAATGAAGAATGCCTCAAAAATGCATTGACCGAATTTTTTGCATCAAAATCACAAGAATTTTACAACAGAGGGATTAAAATGCTTCCTGAGCGTTGGGCACAAGTAGTAGAAAACAACGGCAACTATATTGTTGATTAAATTTTGTTGTATTGTTTAAATAAATTCGATTTAAAAAAGTATTAGAAAACGACATTAATTATTACTAGACCTAATACCTTGGTTGCTGGTACGTCCCCAGTAGGGAGTGTGCAGGAGGCAGCTGATTGATGTTTCTAACTCTCTATCCCTCTCCCTTCCTCTCTGTAAAAAAATCAAAATATATTTAAAAAATAAAAATAAAAAATAATAAAATCGTTCAAGCTGTCTCTGGAATAGATTGTTTCCTGCCTGGTTTGTTATTGGTATGTGGCTCTGTATATTTATTGTTGCTGTTTGGGTTAATT